ATTACTATTGCTATTATTATTGTTATTATCATTACTACTGTTAATTTATTTAACACTTGATTTTTTTTCGATTTTTTTGATTAAATTGATTGACATCCCTATTAGCCTATATAACAAACAAATACAAAAAATCATTAATCAATATTCAGAGTGAATCACCAGCTGAATGTGTTGATCATGACAGCAAAACAAATATAACAATAAACCCAACAGCATATATGGATGACACCATTTGGGCAGCAAAAAATAAAGAAGAATTGACCAAAATCATAAAAACAACAAGCCACTATTACAATTTCATGAAAATAAGGGTCAACTGGGAAAAATCAGACCTAACGCTCCTAAACAGTGACAATAAATCAAAAATCCCTCACTCATTCCCAAGGGGGGTGCACTTATGGGGGTTGACTGTAATACAATCCAAGGGTTCCATTCCCAACACAAATTAAATTATGATTTAATTTGTTAAAAGGAAAGTATATCATGCTTAATGGCTTGATATCAACTACAATGATCACCAATAACAATAGTGATACTACAACCTTTATTGTTTATCAATATTATTAAAAAAAAAATTATTCAACTCAAAATTGTGTAGATATTGTACAAACAATATTAAATAAAATAAATATATTTACTATACATGTAATTAATATTATTTCTAAATTTATAATTGAAATTATTTATTTGGTTCCTTCATTGAATTGTATAACGGCATATTTACCAGAATACATCCAATCTTTCTCAGTATTATTTAAATGTTCTTCCAATCCATCAGGTAAACCAACAATAACATCAGCTTTAGAAGTCCGTAATGCTAGAATTGGTGGCACACCGATTTCATTAGCTAAAGGACCAATAGCTTCTTTGAATGATGTTGTAGTTGGCCATTTACAATCATATACCAATTTTCTATAGTTTAAATCTCCTTTGAAGATAATTAAAGATGAATTTTTCAAATCATTAAATAAATCAGGAGCAATTTCTTTAATATGCCAATAAGAATACGGTGATGTCCAAAACCAATCAGATTTAATTACCCAGATTTGTTTTTTCAAATAATCTTCCCATCTATTTGACAACTCTGTTAAAGATTGAAGATAATTATGATTATTTTCTTCAACACTTGTTGAATGCGATGAGAAGAAATGGCTATCTTTAAGTACATTTAATAACCATTTGAAATCGAATTCAGTTGTGTCTGACACAAACCATGGAATTTTTTTTACATGAAGATGAATTTCAGAGGCATGGCCTGATTGAATCAACCAATCAGCAAATATCAAGTCTCCATATAATTCAAACCCTGCATTATCTAAAATAAAATCAATTCTCATATTTTGATGATTTGAAATTTTATTCCAAGCCTCTTTCAAATTGTTATCCAAAATATATTTTTCAAGATTTTTTGAGTCAGAATTTTGTAAATTTGAAATATCATCGTGAGTAAGATTTGTAAGTAGTGACAGATCAGTGGCGTTACCCCATAAGCTTAATTGAACTAATTCATAAAATAGAATTTGATTATCATCATCTTTAGGATTTTTATTATTCACATCGATAATAACTCGTTTGCTTAATAATTCTTCAAAACGTTTTGCCAGTCTAGCTACTGATTTAAATGATGCTTTAAATGTGTCTTCTTTCTGACGAAAAAATGGATCATAATTTTTCCAATGTTTTGATTTAGCAAAAGCTGAATGCATTCTTCGATATAAATAACACTCTACAAATAACCAAGTTGCTGAATACCAATTCTCTCCATGAAAATATGTATTCAAAGTATCATTCCAACTTTTTACATCTGATTCGCCGTCATCTTCAATAGGACTTTGGTACATAATATATATGTATATATAATAATTTTAAATCAAATAGGATCAATGTAAATAAATGAAAAAATGTAAAAACCTTCACCCCAAAAAAATATAATAAAATTGACATACGTCAAGACTCTTTTTCTTTGCATTTCATATTTCATAGTACCCAATGAATTCATAATTTCTTTTGCCTCGTTACTTTTTTCTTCATCTTTTATGGGATCAAGCTCATATCTTGTTTTATAAATATCATCTATCGTTTTTGTGATAATTATTGGCCACCTATATGTTGCAGTTGTATATCCAAAGCTTTCTTGGTCTATGGATCTCAAGGGAGATTTTGGTGGATTATTTGGTGTGATTGTCATCGTCTTAAAAAAAAGCTTTTGCTAATGCTAATATTAACTAAAAAAAATGAGAACTGGCCGGCTGGGTGACAGATAATTTTCTTTATAACCTGATTTAAATATATCAAGAAGTTTTATTATTAGTGAATAATAAAGTATTTTTTTTTAATATTAATATTTATTCCCTTTCTTACATATAATTATTCACTATTATTAATAACGATAATCATGAAAAAAAACTTTTGATGTTGATCAATTAAAAAATTATGTAATATGTGTAGGTCATGTGATTAATATTTCAAAATTGTGTTGTTTAATCTTAAAAACGCGACTTTTTGTTCCAAAAAATCCTTTTTAAAATATAAAAAATATGTATACACCATCACGTAGAACAAATAACAACAATAATTCTACACCTTTTAAAACCTTTCTTACTGATACATTTAATGAAGAATATATTAATAACAACAATATTAATAACAGCAATATTAATAACAACAATATTAACAACAACAACAACAATTTTAGTCATTTATCAATCAATAAAGTAAATTTCTATATTGAAGAGTTGATAAATAAAGATAAATTATTTCAAGAAGAGCTTGATATCATTACAGAAAATGCAAAATTCAATTTATCCAATTCTAAACAACAATGGCAAGATATGCTTTCCGCTGATAGAGGTATGTATGAAGATTATATATATTGGGAAATAAAATATAAATAAAATTTTAAATTTTCATTTTTAAATAAATAACTTTAGCAAATTTGAAAAGGATTTATGAAGAATATCAACTATATGAAAAAAAGAAAAAGGAAATATCTGAAAGTTAGTAATAATAATAGCAACAATAATAAAAACATTTATATTTACACTCATGCATATTTATAATAAAAAAAAAGGATTGGAAAAAGAATCCAAGGAGGAAAAGAGGATTCAATCAGAAGTCAAAGAATTAGAAAATCGTAAAAATTTACTAAATAATCATAAAAATATTTTAGTAAAAAAAGTTGAAAGTATTAGGAAAAAAGTTCAAAAACAAAAGGATGGTAGGAATGTTGTTATTATTATACTTTTTTTGATCATCACATACATACACATATTAATTACAAATGATGATTATTAAAAATAAAAAGCTTTGTCAGTAAAAAAGAAAAAATTGGAGGAAAATTTTGCAAAAAATGAACCAGAATTAGAATTGTATAAGAATAAATTGGCAATTGATGTTAAAGGTTTACAAGGTTCACCAGGTAGGTATTCAACATTGTCTATTTCATTTATTTATGATTCAATAATTATTAATATTTCTTTGTTATTATTATTGTATAGATGATTTAGTCATTTTTGAATTTTCATGTATTTATAAGAATGAACCTTCCCGTACTTGTCATTTTATTTTAAATGTTACTGATGATGATTATAAAGGTGTATAATTTATTTATTTAATTTATCATTTATTTAATTGTTTATAGTTTTTTTATCTAATCAAAATGTTTTATAACTTATATAGTGTTGAATTGTAGTCCAATGGTAAAGGGATTGAATGAAAGTTTGATGAAGTTAAATAAAACACGTGATCTTGTAAAATTTGTTAAAGAGATGAGGAAGGCTTTTTCTGATCATGCAAAGAGTATTAAAGAAAAAATGGAAGTTTAATTATTATATTAACATTAAAAAAAAACAATAAAATTGGTGTATGTGTTAGAAAAAATCTAAACTGCAACTGCAGTTTGAATTATTGTTGCACATGGCTGACTACACACTAACCTTCTTGTGCTTGGTTAAATTATAATTATAATTCTTTGCCTTACTGAGCAGAGCTGAGATTACAAGTATTAAAAACAAACCTTTTGTTGAACTCAATTTTTTGAAAGCCAAAAATCACAATTACAATGTGTTCCTTATTGAAAATATTCCTTTGTTGTTTATTGGAAAATGATCAAAATAGTTATTAAATTATTTGTCATATAACTAGAGATGGGCATTATGCAACTTTTTGAACATTAATTTGCATAATGTGCATAATGCGCATAATGCGTGCATTATGCGCATGATGATCTTTTCTATAACTGATTTATTTAAAAGTATAAATTTTATTCTTTGTAAATATAACAAATATAACCTAAATAA